AATATTTATTTTTTAGTTCTCGGCAGACACAACATCTTTGTTGGTATGTGGTGCTGAGAATCAAACCCGGTCCGCACGCATGCCAGACGAGCACGCTACCGCTTGAGCCACATCCCCAGCCCCTTTACTGTTGTTCTTACCCCCATACCCCCTTGTTGAGAGCCGGCCCAGTCAGAATGATGCCTGACATTTACCAGAGGGAATGGTTGAAAGGTGACACCAATGAACCATTGAGATGATGATTTGAATTAAGCTATATATAATTGCTGTGATGCTGGATTGATTGAATTGTATATTTGACCTTTTTTGGCTCTTGCTGCCTCTGGCACTGCTACTTTGGAGTTCCCAGTGCAGTTCTCACAGTGGGGGGGGGCGTCGGGAGAGTTCCCGGGGAGCGTGTGTGGTGTGCTGGTGGAGTTCTGAAATAAAGTTTGTTCCTGCTTGAGTGGCTCGTGATTTGTGCCCAGCCAGACTGCGGCACCCCCTCCCCTCCCTTCCCTGCCCTCTGTCTAGTACAAAGTACCTCTATTCTCCCTGCCCCCCTTATTGTGAATTAACATCCACATATCAGAGAAAACATTTGGCCTTTGGTTTTTTTTGGATTGGCTTAATTTAGCTTAGCATAATATTCTCTAGTTTCATCCATATACCAGCAAATGCCATAATTTCATTCTTCTGTAAGGCCAAGTAATATTCTATTGTGTATATATACCACAATTTCTTTTTTTTTTTAGAGAGAGAGGTGAGAGAATTTTTTAATATTTATTTATTTATTTTTTGGCGGACACAATATCTTTGTTTGTATGTGGTGCTGAGGATCGAACCTGGGCCACACGCATGCCAGGCGAGCACACTACCACTTGAGCCACATCCCCAGCCCCCCACAATTTCTTTATCCATTCATCTACTGAAAGACATCTAGGTTGGTTGCACAGTTTAGCTATTGTGATGAGCTGCTATAAACATTTATGTGGCTGTGTCACTGTATTATGCTCATTTTAAGTCCTTTAGGTATAAACTTAGGAGTGGGATGACTGGGTCAAATGTTGGTTCCATTTCAGGTTTTCTGAGGAATCTCCATACTGCTTTTGAGTAGTTATGCTAATTTGCAGTTCCCCCAGCTATGTGTAAATGTACAGTTTTCCCTACATTCTTGCCAGCATTTATTGTGGCTTGTATTCTTGATAATTTCCATTCTGACTAGAGTGAATCTCAAACATACAATTAGCACTTTGCCATTTCTACCTTATTTCTCATTGATTTTTTGAACTACAGCATATAAAATGACCTTCACACATATATTGTACTTTTTTGTCTTTTTAATTTGGTTCTCAGGTCTCTCTCTGGACAGTGACCATAAACTTCAGTCCTACGTGACAGGACTTCAGGTATGGCTATTTACAACACCTTTCAGGGGAAACTTAGTATGTTCGAATAACTAAGTTTCCCATGATTATGGATCCAAAGAAAATGAAATCAGCATATTAAAGAATACCTGAATGTGCATGTTATTGCAGTAATATTCACAGTTATGACTACCTTCCAATCTACAGTACCTTCCAAATTACAGTATCAATTCTAGATTTATTCCTGTTTAAGACATATGAAAACGTACAGCATAGAATCAAAGGTATACACTGTTTTTCTTTGTGGCTTTCCAGTTTTCATGGTAAAATTATGATTTCTCATGCAGCATATTCAGATTTTAACATGTCTTATTGTTTATATTAGCATGTATTAATTCTATATGTTATTGGGTTCAGTGTGATACTTCCACACATTCTATGATGTGCACTAATAAAATCCAACCTCTCTTTATTCACCCTTCCCCTATCCAACATCTAATAATTACTATTCTGCATTCAAGTCAATATTTTTAGTTCCCATATATGAAAAATAACATGCAGTACTTTTCTTTCTGTGTCTGGCTTATTTCTCTTGACATAATGTCATCTAGTTCCATGCATTTTGCTGTAAATGACAGGATCCTAACTGGACACAGACCCACAACCTGGACACAGACCCACAACCAGCAAGAGAGAAAGATTCAAAATAAGAGACCAGTGGAAAAACTTTTGCTGGTTAGCCTTTGAAATAGCCTTGCTGGCCTAATTCTTGTTTTGGGGGGAGCAAGCCACAAATTCTATGGAGTATCACTGTAACTATTGAGCATATCTATGGAGTTGATGTGGAATACGGTTGGAGTGGGTTGAGTAAAGTGTTGTATCTAGCAGTCCCATAGAGAAGAATCAAAAGAAAGTGTATAAAAAATTTAACTGGGTTAAATCTATTGAGGAATTGGGAGGAAATAGAAGGATTCTATGTCATGGATAACTAATTCTAGCTTTCTGGTATAAGTTAAATTCATATTCACAATGGGTGCTGGGCAATAAAAAACTATATGAATTAATTAAAATATTTAAAATAGGAATTCTGGTAGTACACTAATATATCTAAAATATATATAACTATATATACATGTATGTATATATAATCATATATATATATATACATATCTGTAATAACTCTAATATAGATGTAGATATTGTTATGTTTTAGATCTGAGGTATTCCCCCAAAAGCTCTTGTGTGATTTAAAAGAGGAATGATTGGGTTATGAAAGCCTTACCCAATCAGTGAATTAACACCCTGATGGAATTAACTGAGAAGTAACTAAAGGCAGGCAGAATGTGGCTGGGAGAGGTGGATCATTTGGGGTGTGCCTTTGGGTATATATTTTGTATCTGGTGAGTTTAGTCTCTCTCTGCTGTCTGATCATTATGTGAGTTGCTTCCCTCCACCATATTCTTTCACCATGATGTTCTGCCTCCCCTGAAGTCCAGAGAAATAGAGCTGGCCTTCTGTGGACTGAGACATCTGAAACCGTGAGTCCCCAAATAAACTTTTCCTTCTCTACAAGTCTTTTAGTCACAATAGCAAAAAAACTAACTAAAACAGAAATAGATGAGATCACAAAGTAAAAGGTAATATATTGGGCGATATTATAAAGGACAATGTTTAAGCATTTTTCCACAACAACACACAAGAATATAAAAGGTAAGACACCAGTTTTATAAACAGAAAACTCATCATTCACAGAGAAAACCAGTGTATTCCTTTTATCCTATAGTGTATATCCTATAGTGTACATGGCTAAATATAAGACTGGTATTGTAAAGACACTATTAGTGAGAAGACAGTAATAATATGATTAGCTTTGTGTACACACACATGAAATTAGTCTAAAAATCTGTCCTTATCACATTCTGGTGAGATTCTGAACTCCACAATTTGAAGAGGTAGCTGTCAATAGGTTAAACAGGTAATATTTGAGTCATATAGAACATTCCAAAATAATGTAACATCAACAAAACTCTTATTAACAAGGATATTAACAACATGAGGGAAATTATGAACAAGATGAGTTAAAAACAAGAGTCAGAAAACATCTGAAAGACAAATTTGAAAAGTATCATTATTAATGCATTTTGATTTTGTTTTCCATTTCATGTAATTATAAAAGTAAGTTTAATGTTGATTTTATATAAATTAAATTATGAGATAAAAATCTTAAGTTATAAGAAATTCTGTGCCATAGGTTGTCAATAGTTTTTATTCTTTCATTGTGAGGTAAAATAGAAATGCATTTCACAATTGATGAAAATGATACTCTTTGCAATTCCTGAGAAAAAACTGTGATAGTGCATGCTTGTAATCTCGGTGACTTGGGAGGCTGAGTCAAGAGGATTTAAGTTCAAAACAAGTCTGGATAATTTAATGAGACTCTGTCTCAAAACAAAAAAGGGATAAGGATGTAGTTCCGTGGTACAGTTTGTGCCTTACATCTGAAAGGCCCTGGGTCCAAAAAAAAAAAAAAAAAGTAGTCAGTATTAACAAGTACTAGTTGTTACTACAAATCTGCTATTAGAATATAGTTTCTAGGTCTTATTAATTTGGTCCTCACAATATTTCAAGAGACAGACATAATTACCACTCCCATGGTCAAGTTCTGAAATAGCTCAAGTCTTACAAGAAAGGAATAGAAGAACCTTGAGCTTGACTCAGTCTGTCTCCAGAGTCTTTGTTCACATTAACTGTGTTATTCTTTTTTCTTAACTGGACGTGGTGGTATGTGCCTAAAAATTGGAGGCTAGCCTTGGTAACATAAACTCTATCTCAAAATGAAAAAATAAAAGGGATAGATTTGTAGCACAGAGGTAGAAGATTCCTGGGTTCATTTCCTGGTATTGCAAATACATATAAATTTTTTTTCTCATACATGGCAAACTTTTTCTAGGTTTAGGTTGTGTTTAAGAATTCTTTCCCTACACCATTGTCAAGAACTCATTTTCCCAAATCAAATTCTAAATAATATATTAAATATTTCTATATTCCATCTATGATCCACATGGACTTGAAATTGTATTCAATATGAGTTTAAAGGAATATTTTTGGCTGAGGATATACATCAGTGGTAGAATGCTAACCTAGCATGTGTGAGGACTTTGATTCAATCCCATGGAGGATATCCAATATCATGCAACATTTACGGATAATTCATCTTTTCTCTATTAGTCTTTCTCATGAATTATTTTATGAATTATTTGCTTACATATATGTATCAGTTTAGGTTAGGGTTTTTAGATTTTTTTCCTTGATTTTTTTCTCTGTACATTTTCTTTTTATGGAGAGAATTTACTTAATTCCCAGAGATCCCTTGAGACCTCATTCCCTTAATCATGATGGTATTCTGTAATGAAGAAAGCAGAGGGTAAAAACTTGCATGCCTACCTCTATACCAATATATTCAGGTATATCTTGAATAAATAGGAAAGTTTAGGACTTTGGAACATTACTGCCAACACTATATCTCTAACATCATTTATGAATTTTAGGCAACCCCTCCAAACATCCCCACTTTATATTTTTTTCTATATATATTCAGTGAATTTCATTCAGTCTTACCTCTCATGCCTTGTCTTTCCCTGTTTTCTACAGCTTACCTTTCATTCCATGAGCAATACCAGCAGAGCAGGTACAAATACAGACATCCCTGGTGTTTCCTGCACTACCATAGAGAACCCGGTGGGTGTCTCCTTATCTTTCAAACTACAATCACCTAGGCTGTGGCCATGGTTGGCACAGCTAAACTAAGATCCTTTCCAGGGGATCTGCATCAGCAAGAACATCTGCTCCCTGACCTTCCTCCTGTATGGATTAGGAAATTCAGTTCTTTTACATAAAGTACAAATTTGTTAAACAGTCATCCTGCTTGCCAACCAATTATAAGATACCATTTCAGCTTAATCTTATAATAGAAGGTCTATTTTGTCATGAAATGTCTTTAAGACTTTGGTATAAAATTAGTTTGGTGGGAGAGCACATAAACATCAAGTAAAACAAATTTTTATATTTTGTTTTGAATATGGGTACTTTCCTTTGTTTAAATATATTTATGATCATTTTTTAAAGAATCTTTTCAATCATTTTAATCTTTACTGGCATCACTCGTTCCTATATTGAATGATAATACCATTGTTATTAAAGAAAGTTGGGGCTGGGAATATAGCTCAGTTGATAGAGTGTTTGCCTTGTATGCACAAGGCCCTGGGTTCAATCCCCAGAACCACCAAAAAGAAAAAAGAAAAGAAAGTATATGCTATGCATTTTATATAAACCTTAATGGTTTTTTAATAACAATTTTCTTCTGCTCTTATAAATAGAAAGCTCTACTTGAAGTATTTCTCAATATATTTAGTTTTTCAGCCATGCATAATAGGATTATACAAGTCGAGTTGGGACCCTACTGGGGTAGTTTAACCCACTCATACATGATATTTCCTACATCTTTAATGAAGACTGTTCATCCTTGGGCTTGTAATAAGATGGCTGTCACATCCACAGCACAGTTGTGCCAAGGCAGTAGAAGAGGTTGCCAGGAAACCAATGAAAACACCCAGAGATAGCATAGGAGACATAATAGTTTATTGAGATAGGTTTACAGAGAAGATTCAGTGATGATAGGCTGAACAGATAGCATCTCCCTACCTCACTGTGCTTTGCCAAGAAAGGCCACCCCTCCCTCTTATCACTCTCTTATTTTGTCCTATAGTGACTGGCTGGATCAATGACATATTATTTCCAACTTTCCCTCCATTCCACCCCAATTACCACTAAAAGAAGGATTTTATTTGTTAGTTTGCAGGACCAGTGACATCATCAGCATTGGCTTGCTCAGTTTGCTCGTATGATAATCATTCTAAGGAGCAACTGCCCTGGTGTACATGCAAGAAAATAATTTTCTACAGTTAACATTTGCTTGCCCTAGTCCCAGTGTATTGCAGGACAGCCAGAGTGCTTCAAGATATGTATCTGAACATTCCTTCCCAGACTTGCTCTTCATTGTCCCCTTAACTTGCCTAGGGTTTGGGAACAGAAAGGGACCATGCAGGTACATGTGTTTAGAGAATGACTGCATCATGTAAAAGATTCTGTATTCTTATAGTCAGGAATGAAATTTAAAAGTTTGAAGATCATGTTAATAAATGATTTATTCTTTTGTCTTCAGCTTTTTTTCTAGACCACTTTGACAATTCTGTCAACCATGTCTTGGTGAAATAAAGAGAGCACACACTGGCCTGGGGTTGTGGCTCAGTGGTAAAGTACTCACCTAGCATGTGTGAAGCACTGGATTTGATCCTCGGCACCACCTTAAAATGAAGGTTATTGTCCACCTATAATTAAGACAAATTTTTTTTAAAGATTTAAAAGAGGGGCTGGGGATGTGGCTCAAGCGGTAGCACGCTCGCCTGGCATGCATGGGGCGCTGAGTTTGATCCTCAGCACCACATAAAAATAAAGATGTTGTGTCCACTGAAAACTAAAAAATAAATATTAAAAAATTCTCTCTCTTTCTCTTTTAAAAAAAAGATTTAAAAGAAAAAAAGAGAGAGCACATACCACACTGCCTAGAGGGGAGCTGGCAATATTATTCTCTCCCAAAATTGCTACAGGACATGGAGAATGGCTTGATATACTCCTACCTGTGTGCTTCTAGATGGCAATGATAAAGTGAACAAGGGACATTGTAAATGGAACTCACAAAGAAGTAGTGGAATTTGAAACTCTAAAGGGAAGCCTAGAATTGCTTTAGACACAGTACCTGCAGGAGTGCCCTTTAGGGTCATCTACTGTAGGTCACTGAATAAAAGATTTAAGATGAATTTTATGAAGAAAATAATATCTCTATCAAATAGATTATTATACATAAAACTGATTTATTTTTATACTTACTGATTTTTGGTTATTTCTTGATTTTTTTTGGGGGGGGTGGTAACCAGAGATTGAATTCAGGGGCACTCAACCACTGAGTCACATTCCTCATTTTATGCAGAGACAGGGTCTCACTAAGTTGTTTAGTGCCTCGCTTATGCTGAGGCTGGCTTTGAACTCATGATCCTCCTGCCTCAGCCTCCCAAGCTGCTGGGATTGCAGACGTGTGCCACCATGCCTGGCTTATTTCTTATCTTTAGGAGTCTTTGAAGGAAATAAATTCCTGTGCCAATATGCAGGAATATTTAGAGTATATTTTCTTCTATCAGTTGTGAAGTTTCTGGTCTGTTTTCTAGGTCTTTGATCCACTTTGAGTTGACTTTTGTGCAAGGTGATATGTAGAAATTAAGTTTTATTCTTCTACATATGTATCCAGTTTCCTCAGTGCCATCTTTCTCAAGGGTTATCTTTTCTCCAATGTACGTTCTTGGCACTTTTGTTGAGTATCAGATGACTGTATCTATATGGGTTCATGTCTGTGTCTTCTATTCCATTTGGTCTTCAAGTCTCTTTTGGTGCTAATGACATGCTCTTTTTGTTACTATAACTCTATAGTATAATTTGAGATCCAATATTATGAGGCCTCCAGCATCACACTTCTTGCTCAAGATTACTTTGGCTTTTCTTCATCTCTTATTCTTTCAAATGAATTTTAGAAACTTTTTTCCAGTTTTGTGAAGATTGTCATTGGTATTTTGGTAGTATGGCCATTTTGATAAATTAATTCTTGATAATTAATATTAATTATCCAAGGACATGATGATTCTTTCCATCTTCTAAGGTCTTCTCCAGTTTACTTCTTCAGTGTTCTACAGTTTTCTTGCAGAGGTCTTTCACCTTCTTGGTTAGATTTATTCCTAAGTAATTACTTTTTACTTTATTATGAATAGGATAGTTTTCCTAATTACTTTTTCAGCAGATTTATTATTGAAATATTGGAAAGTGGTGGATTATTATGTTGATCTTTCATTCTGCTACTTTGCTGAATTCATTTATTAGCTCTAGAAATCTCCTAGTAAGGTATTTTGGGTCTTCCAGATATAGGATCATGTTATCAGTGAACAGATAGTTTGACTTTTTTTTACTGTTCATTGGATATAATAGTCCACAGTTTTCCTGTCATGTGATATCTTTGTCTAGTTTAATTTCAGGATAAACTAGCTTCAAACAGGGAAGTACTAGGAATAAATTGGAGCAAATTATGTTATGTTCACACATGAATATGTCACAATTAACTTCAATATCATGTACAATTATAATGCACCAATAAAAACATGAAAAGAATAACAAAAATGTTGTTGTTTTTGTATCTTAGACATTAATTAATAATTCTATGAACTCTTTAAAATGTTTAGAATAATTCATCAGTGAGCTCATCTTGACCTGAGCCGGGAATTGACTTCTAACAATTATATGAGCTTGGAAGAGTATCCTTCCTCTACTGAGCCTGCAGTTCAGAACATAGTAGTCTTCATTATCTACATCGAATTCCTGACAGAAATTGTGAGTAATATGTGTATTATATGATAATTTGGGGCACTGTATTATATGGTAATTTGTCATGCAGCACTAAGTAATATACCTGACAGTAAACATAATATTTTATCCCAGATTGGAACCTGGATAGAAAAATATATATTAAATGTAAACTTGGTAGACTACAAAGCACGTCTGTAGTTCAGATAATTGGTGACAGGATGAACCTCTTATTTTTTATTAATATACTATGATTATATAAGATGCTACATTATAAGAAACTAAAAAGTATATGATATTATCTTTACCATTTCTGAAATTTTCTGTAAGTCTGAAATTATTTTTGGTTATAGTTTAGATATGAGATACCTCCCAAAATACTTACATGAGGCAATGCAAAAATGTGCAGAGTGGAATTATTACATTGTTAGACTTGTAACCTAATTAGTGAATTGATTTACTGATATGTATTAACTGGGCAGTAACTGCAGGCAGGTAGGATTTCACTTGAAGAAATAGGTCACCAGAGCTATGACTTTTTGGTTTATATTTTATCCCTGATGAGCTGATCTACTTCCTGTTTTCATGTCCTCTGCTGCTTTCCTCTGCATACTCTTCTGCCATGATGTATGCCCCACCGTGGGCTCAAAGGTATGGAGTAAACTGACCATGGATTAACCTTCTGAAACTGTGAGCAAAACAAACTTTTCCTCTACTTTGTTATTCTTGTCAGGTCACAGAAATGAAAAAGTTAACTAAAACAGAAATTGGTACTGAGAAGTGGAATCCTTGCTGTGACTAATCTGAACATGTGGTTCAGAAACTTTTTGAGTTAGTTTTCCAGGAGAGGAATTTTGAAAAGTTTAGAGATAAAAGGTTTCAAAGCTTTAAAATGTTATAAGCAAAGATAAATGGGTGATTCTGGTGGGAATTCAGAAGACTAGAATGCCAATAGAACTGTGGACAGTAAAACTGAGGTCTTTAGGTCATGAGGTTTTAGAGGAGAAGGACTCTATTTGAAGTTAGACTAGGGTCCATTCATATTGTGCTCTGACAAAAAAAAATCTCTATGTTTATCCCATTTCCTGAGATTTTTATGAACTTAAGTTTAAATGTGATAGACTAATTAATCTGGTAGAGGAAATTTCAAGGTAGCACAGCATTCAGGGAGTGGCATGGATATTAAGTGGCTTTTAGCCAAGTTTATTGTGATAATCAGGAACAGAAAGAAGAGCAGAAAAGTACAAACAAAACTGGTGCTAAGTAAAATGTGCTTGTTAAAGGGATTACAGCCACTGAAGAAATGCTTACTACTTTACCCAACGACAATAGGAACAATGGTTTGGGGAGCATCTCAGGAATCAGCAATACCACACCAATCTCAGGAATAAGGGTATAAAAATCCTTTTGAGAAGAGAACACAAAGGCACACTGCTTATACATAGAGGACCTAGGAAGTTGATTCACTGTGCTCAGCCACCCATGCATTCAGAAGCTGCAGCAGCCATGGTCCCAGAACACTTGGCTTCTGTTTAGGATGGTGGTATATATTGGCATCAACCACGTGGTGCTTATTCTGCAGGAATACAAAATGTTGTAGTTCAGAGGTCATGAAGGGTTCCACCAATCTTTCAAAAGAAGGAGGTCAGGCAAAGTGTAACAGATTAGTCTCCATAGGCTGACCCTGAAAGGGCAATGTGTGTAGATGTGAGAAGGAAGCCAAAGCTGAAGTGGAGATCCACAAGAAGAATAAATGCCCAGTAATGTTAAATATCTACCAAGGAAAGTTTCAGGGATTGAGCAAAGGCAAGACGTAAGAAAGACCATGTGGGCTACAACCAATAAGACCATGGAGTGAGGAACACAAGCCCTTTAGAGAGAACATTACAATGTCATGTGCCCCAGATGCTGCACTTAGAGTTACAGAATTTTTTGTCCAGCTGGATTTCAGTCTTGCTTGGATTCCATCCCTTCTTCCTATACCCCTGTATCTCATTGTGGAATGATCATGTTGACCCTGTGTCATTATAAATTGGACATATGTAACTTTCCTTTGATTTTTACAGGAGTTCATGCTAAGAGTTTTCCTTGAGTCGCAGAGGAGACTTTTAGACTGTTAAGACTATGGAGACTTTGCAAATAAGCTAAGTGTACTTTTAAAAATTCTTTTTAGTTGTACATGGACACAACATCTTTTTATGTATTTATTTTTATGTGGTGCCAAGAACTGAACACAGCTCCTCACATGTGGGAGGCAAGTGCTATACCACTGAGCTATGGTCCTAGCCCAAGCTAAGTGTATTTTGCATTGTGAGACGGGAATGAGCTTTGGGGCACCAATGGGGAAATGTTTTGGTTTAGTTATGAGGTATCTCCCAAAAGCACATGTATGAAACAATGCAAAAGTATTCAGAGGTGAAATGATTGAATTGTGAGACTGATAAGCTAATTAGTGGATTGCACCACTGATATAGATCAAGGGGACAGCAACTGTAGGCAGGTAGGTTGTAACTGGAAGAAGTAGGTCATTGTATAGAGGAAAATGATGGAATCAAACTTAACTATGGTTACTGGAACAGGTTTATTATCTGTAGAGCACTTCTTAATTTTGATAATTAGTGATTCATCTCATTAAGGAGTATATAAAATTCTGAATACACACACACACACACACACACACACACACACACACACACTTGCCTAGCAAGTGCAAGCCCCTAGGTTTGATCCCTAGAACCCTCCCACCCCACCGCCCAAAAAAAGCTAATTTATTTTAGTTTTAAACAATGTATTCAACTTGTCAGGAAACTGTCATGAATTTTCAAATAAATGCAATGACTACATTTAAAAAAAAAAAAGAAATAGGACACTGGGGACATGTATTTGAGGTTTACATTTTATTCCTGGTGAGCAGACTTCTCTTTCTCTCTCTCTTTCTTCCCCATATTTTCCATGTCCTGAACTGTTTTCCTCTGCCACACCTTTCCACCAGGATGTTCTGCCTCACCTCAGGGCCAGAGCTATGGTATCAGCTGACCATGGACTGAAACTCTAACGCCCTAAGCCTCTACATTGTTCTTGTCAGAACTTTTAGTCACAGGGCCGAAAAAGCTAACTATAATGTTTTTTTTTTCTTTTTTTAATTTTTGCTTGACTAATAATATTTGTATGTATTTATGGAGCAAAATGTAGAGAGTGTGTGTGAGTGTGTGAGTGTGTGTGTGTGTGTGTGTGTATCAAATTGGGGGATTATCAAATCAGACCAATTAGCATATATATCACCTAAAACAATTATCATTTCTTTGGGGAGAATTCATTTAAAGCTTTTTTCTGGAAATATTTACTACATTATTTTTTTTTTAAAGAGAGAGTGAGAGAGAGGGAGAGAAAGAGAGAATATTTTTAATATTTATTTCTTTTAGTTATTGGCGGACACAACATCTTTGTTGGTATGTGGTGCTGAGGATGGAACCCAGGCCGAACGCATGCCAGGCGAGCACGCTACTGCTTGAGCCACATCCCCAGCCCACTACATTATTATTAACTAAGATCATCATACTGTGCAATGGATCACCAGAACTTATCATATCTGTCTAATTTAGTAACTTTGAACAGCATCTCCCATTTTCTCACATACTCACCAAACATGCCTCTGGTAACTACCATTTTTCTCTATATTTGTATAAAGTTTTATTTTTAAGTTTCCACATAAAAATGAGGTCATACATTATTTATTCTCTGTACCTGATTTTTTTCACATTGCATAATGTCTTTCAGGTTCACACATTTTGTTACAAATGATAGAATTTTCTTCTTTTTAAAGCTGAATAATATACTATATAAATAAATATGTGTTTTTATACCATATATTTAATTCATTCATCTGTTAATGGATGTTTAGAATATTTATGTTCATTGGCTAGTGTGAGTAATGCTGCACTGAACATAGAAGTGCAGGTGTCTCTTAGATATGTGGATTTCAATTTCTTTGTATATATACCTGATGCTACAGTATATAAATCTATATTTTCACTTTTTTGAAGAAACTTCATATTCTTTTGCAAAATGATGGTACTAATTCATGTTCCCAACAGTGGTGAGCAATAGTTCCCTTTTCTTCATATACTCACTGACACATGTTATCATTCGTCCTTTTGACAACAGCCAATCTAACAGTGAGAGAAGAGATCTCATTGAGATTTTATTTTATTTTTATTATTTCCTTTTATTTTACAGTGCTGGGGATTGAACCCAGGACTCATAGCATGGTAAGCAAGCATGCTGTCACTGAACTACATCTTCAGCCCCCCTGAGATTTTAATTTGTATTTTCCTGAAAGTTAGAGATGTTGAGCATTTTTGCATATAAAAACTATTAGCCATTTGTTATTTTCTTTTGAGAAATATCTATTCAGATCCTATGCATATTATATAGAGTTGTTTTCTTCTTAAAGTAGTTTGAGTTCCTTATTTATTTTTAAATTAGTTCAGAATAAAAATTCTTTCTTAATATATTATTTTGGAAGTACCAAGAAAATCTAAACCCAAAGATAAACAAAATACCTTGGGCTCAGGGGATGAATGGACATGATGGGTAATTATTAAATCACCATTCCAAACACAAATTGTACTTGGTTCAAGAATGTCGTCACAAGCTTCATGATTCTCCTCCTATTTCTTCTTCCCCATCATCCTCCTCATTTCCCAGTCACCACTTTCTCAACAACTACTTCTTCACACACAGATACCTATGCCAACATACCCCAGAAAGCCATGTTTTCTGACAATCTGGCAAAATTCTGCCAGATCCTGTAACAGATTTTAGAAGATATGACTTCTGGACAGTAGAAACCACAATTGAGAAATTTTAGTCACAGGGACCATAAATAACATTTCTACATTCAAGAGAGTCATTCTGCAGTATTGTATTCCTTCTTTAAGTTTTCAAATGACAACTGTACCTTCAAAAAAAATCCTGTGATATTTAAATTCTTTTCATTCCAGAAACTCCACACTAATTCTTTAGTCTCACATATTCTGTTGACACATTATGGAATTCTGTTATCTACTGGCAAACACAAAAGCCACAGAATAGGTACAGTCATGGTGACAAGGATGCTAAGTACAAAATAAATTATTTATAAGCATGGTAGTTTATGAAAGTCCCTGTTTATACACACCTGTAAATGAATCTTTACTCACCCAATTTTTGGCAGGTGAAGGCAAGTGAGTGATTCAGAATGTGCTGGCAAGAGAGGTCAGGCAATAGACACAAAACTGTGCAAACGTGATATCACAAGCACAGAGGGTGCAGGGCTGAGCATCAAACTCCCAAATATGATTCTGATCACATCAATGTTATGATTTACTGCAACTACTAAACAACCCATAACCAGGTTTCACAGAGGTTCACTCAGCCACCATAATTCTCTGAAAGATGGATATGATAGATCCCAAAGTCAGACCATATCATGAGGCAAAAACACTGACCTTATACATACTCTAGCCTAAATAGAATTTACATTTTGATGGGAAAATGATACATATATTTTAAATAATGACCTTATGCATACCTAATTAGTTTTCCTAGAGCCTGAAACTTTAGGAGCAAATATAGCCAAAATTCAAAATTATAAATTATATGGGTTTCATCTATCAATATGTTCATTGAGGAACAGCAGAGGACAGTTCTATTTACAATTATCTAAACTCACAGTTGGTCAAGTAGGAAAGGCAAGAAGTTTTCAGAAAATAATTTTGTATCTACTTCTCCAGGAACTGATCACAAAGTGAGGTTTATTATCACCATCCATGTGATTAAAAAGAATAGGAGATTGTATTTAAATTCTGGATTGAAAAACTGGGTTTGGAACGCATCATGTGGAAAATATTGCTTATACTTCTAAGATTAAGAAAGAAATTCTAAAGATATAGCTTTTTCCTAATCTTTAGAAAGTGACTACTCTAATACCAACAGGTCCTTAGTTCTTTTTATTTTCATTCTTAATGTATTTTCTGAACTGTTATAAAATTACCTGCCACAGGTTGTATTATTTTTACATTTGATTTTAAGGCATCTTTTTGGACAATGACAATAAAATTTAGCCCCATTCAATAGCATTTATATAAATCTGGTTATGGATGTGTACAATGTGGCTTTGTAATAAATTTACCCTGTTCCTTTGTCATGAACTGATTTTGTGCATAACATAAGGTTAAAGGTACATTTGATTTTTCCCAGTGGGTGTAAATTTCCTGGAACATACACTGAAAAATCTATATTTTCCCTACTCATTTGCGTTATAAGGTATTTCCTTATATGTGTATATGTCAGTTTTTTGAGGTTTCATTTCTTTTATGCACTAATTTCTCTTTGTACAAGTCAGACATCGTCCTAATAAAAGATTTCACTTAACACAGGTTATTCCTTATAGAGTCTCTCACATACTGTGTTGCTGTTCTATAATAAAGAGGGCAAATCTGCATGCCTTGCACTACATCTCTATGCTCAAGTGTACCTCGATTAGGAAGAAGGTTTAGAATTCTAACATATTGCTTTAAAACAATGCTTATGTCTGTAATGTTCTTGTGAATCAGGCAGTCCACCCAGCACAGTTCCAGCTTCAATTATTTCTACGTTCCCAGTGAATTTTATCAGATGACAAGGCTTCTTTTACTTCCCTTCTTTCTGGCTCCTTCCCCACCAACAGCCAGAGGTGGCAGGAATCTGGAGACTCATCCCTGGGTGCCTCCTGCGAAAGTGCAGATGTCCCAGTGGAAGAAGTCCTCCTCCCTCCTCTTCCACACCACACCCACTCAGGGCCACAGCCAAAGTAGCTTAGCTCAGAGCCTCACTGTGGGGTCTGCAGGGGCAAGGACAGCTGCTCCCTGCCCTCCCTTAGTGGTTGGTTGCAGAATGCAGTTCTTTGTATGAGAACGCTTTTTTTTAAATTGGTTGTTCAAAACATTACAAAGCTCTTGACATATCATATTTCATACATTAGATTCAAGTGGGTTATGAACTCCCATTTTTACCCCAAATACAGATT